GATCGATTTCCCTGGATCAGGGATGATTTCCCTGGATCAGGGATGGATTTCCCTGGATCAGAGATGGATTTCCCTGGATCAAGGATGGATTTCCCTGGATCATGGGATGGATTTCCCTGGATCGGGGCCGTTTCTGCAGCTGGAGCAGGGCCGGGCCCGCCCAGCTCCGTGTGGAATTTCCAAGGGACGCAGGGAGCTCGGCTAACGAGGCCCAGGATCCCCCGGGAACCCTGCCGGGAACAGCAGAGCGCGGCAGAGCCGTCACCGCAGCAACGGACCCGCGGCCCCATCCCCGTTCCCAGGAGAGGATTCCCAAGGAACGGCCCCGCGCCCCTGCCCCCGTTCCCAAGGAATGGCTCCGTGTCCCTGTCCCCGTTCCCAGGAGGAGACTCCCAAGGAACGGCTCCGTGTCCCTGTTCCCATTCCCAGGAGGAGATTCCCATGTCCCTGTCCCCGTTCCCAGGAGGAGACTCCCAAGGAACGGCCCCGCGGCCCTGTCCCCATTCCCAAGGAACGGCCCCGCGTCCCTGTCCCCATTCCCAGGAGAGGATTCCCAAGGAACAGCCCCGCCTCCCCGCCCCCGTTCCCAGGAGAAGACTCCCAAGGAACGGCTCCATGTCCCTGCCCCCGTTCCCAAGAGAGGATTCTCATGGAAAGGTTCCGTGTCCCTGTCCCCATTCCCAAGGAAAGACCCCGTGTCCCTGTCCCCATTCCCAAGGAGGAGATTCCCAAGGAACGGCTCCGTGTCCTGTCCCCATTCCCAGGAGGAGATTCCCGTGTCCCTGTCCCCATTCCCAAGGAACGGCCCCGCGTCCCTGTCCCCATTCCCAAGGAGGAGATTCCCAAGGAATGGCCCCGTGTCCCTGTCCCCATTCCCAGGAGGAGATTCCTGTGTCCCTGTCCCCATTCCCAGGAGGAGATTCCTGTGTCCCTGTCCCCATTCCTGGAGATTCCCGTGTCCCTGCCCCCGTTCCCAGGAGATTCCCATGGAACGGCTCCGCGTCCCTGCCCCCATTCCCAAGGAACGGCTCCGTGTCCCTGCCCCCATTCCCAAGGAGGAGATTCCTGTGTCCCTGTCCCCATTCCCAGGAGGAGACTCCCAAGGAACAGCTCCGCGTCCCTGCCCCCATTCCCAAGGAGGAGACTCCCAAGGAACGGCTCCGTGTCCCTGTCCCCATTCCCAGGAGGAGATTCCCAAGGAATGTCTCCATGTCCCTGTCCCCATTCCTGGAGATTGCCATGTCCCTGTCCCCATTCCCAAGGAACGTCTCCATGTCCCTGTCCCCATTCCCAGGAGGAGATTGCCGTGTCCCTGTCCCCATTCCTAACAGCTCCATGTCCCTGTTCCCATTCCCAAGGAAGAGCCCAGTGTCCCTGTCCCCATTCCCAGAAGATTCCCAAGGAATGGCTCCGTGTCCCTGTCCCCATTCCCAGGAGATTCCCGTGTCCCTGCCCCCATTCCCAAGAAATGGCTCCGTGTCCCTGTCCCCATTCCCAAGGAACAGCCCCGTGTCCCTGTCCCCATTCCCAGGAGGAGATTCCCATGGAAAGGCCCCGTGTCCCTGTCCCCATTCCCAAGGAACGTCTCCGTGTCCCTGTCCCCATTCCCAGGAGATTCCCAAGGAACTGCTCCGTGTCCCCATTCCTGGAGATTCCCATGTCCCTGTCCCCATTCCCAGGATGAGATTCCCGTGTCCCTGTCCCCATTCCCAAGGAAAGACCCCGTGTCCCTGCCCCCCTTTCCAGAAGGAGATTCCCAAGGAAAGGCCCCATGTCCCTGTTCCCATTCCCAAGGAGGAGATTCCCACGGAACAGCCCCATGTCCCTGTCCCCATTCCCAGGAGATTCCCATGGAAAGGCCCCGTGTCCCTGTCCCCATTCCCAAGGAGGAGATTCCCAAGGAACGGCCCCGTGTCCCTGCCCCCATTCCCAGGAGAAGATTCCTATGGAAAGGCTCCATGTCCCCTGTCCCCATTCCCAAGAATGGCTCTGCGTCCCTGTCCCCATTCCTGGAGATTCCTGTGTCCCTTTCCCCATTCCTAAGGAACATCTCCATGTCCCTGTCCCCATTCCCAAGGAAGAGCCCAGTGTCCCTGTCCCCATTCCCAGGAGATTCCCAAGAAATGGCCCCATGTCCCTGTTCCCATTCCCAAGGAGGAGATTCCCAAGGAGGAGATTTCCACGGAACAGCCCCGCGTCCCTGCCCCCATTCCCAGGAGATTCCCAAGGAACAGCCCAGTGTCCCTGTCCCCATTCCCAGGAGGAGATTCCCGTGTCCCTGTCCCCATTCCCAAGAAATGGCTCCATGTCCCTGTCCCCATTCCCAAGGAACGGCCCCGCGTCCCTGCCCCCATTCCCAAGGAATGGCCCCGTGTCCCTGTCCCCATTCCTGGAGATTCCCATGTCCCTGTCCCCATTCCCAAGGAACGGCCCCGCGTCCCTGCCCCCATTCCCAAGGAGGAGATTCCCAAGGAACAGCTCTGTGTCCCTGTCCCCTTTCCCAAGGAGAAGATTCCCATGGAATGGCCCCGCGTCCCTGTCCCCATTCCCATGGAGGAGATTCCCAAGGAATGTCTCCATGTCCCTTTCTCCATTCCCAAGGAATGGCCCCATGTCCCTGTCCCCATTCCCAAGGAACGGCTCCGTGTCCCTGTCCCCATTCCCAGGGGAACATTCCCAGTCCCTCCCAGCTCCCCAGTCCCTGCCTGGCTCAGCCCCTCGGATTTCCCGGGTGGAATCTGCTCCAGAATCAATCTGGAATTCTGGGATCCAGTTCCCACCTCCCAGAACAACCCCAAGGTCCTGCCCAGAATCCCAGCCCCATTCCCGATCCCATTCCCAGCCCCATTCCCGATCCCATTCCTGATCCCATTCCCGGCCCCATTCCTGCTCCCATTCCCGGCCCCATTCCCGACCCCATTCCCGATCCCATTCCTGCTCCCATTCCCGGCCCCATTCCCGACCCCATTCCCGATCCCATTCCTGATCCCATTCCCAGCCCCATTCCTGATCCCATTCCTGATCCCATTCCCAGCCCCATTCCTGATCCCATTCCCGGCCCCATTCCTGATCCCATTCCCAGCTGGCGCCCGGTTCCCACCTCCCAGCACAACCCCAAAATACCGCTGGCCATCCCAATCCCATTCCCAATCCCATTCCCAATCCCATTCCCAATCCCATTCCCAATCCCATTCCCAATCCCAATTCCCTGTCCCAATCCCATTCCCAATCCTAATTCCCCATCCCAGTCCCATCGCAATCCCATTCTCGTTCCTGATCTCATTCACATTCCCATTCCCATTTGCCTTTCCCAATCCCATCCCCATTCCCAATCCCACTCCCAATCCCATTCCCAACCCATTTCCAATCCTGTTCCTGCTCACGTTCCCAATCCCCAATCCCAATCCCCAATCCCATTCCCATTCCCATTCCCATCCCATCCTCATTGGCATTCCCAAACCCATTCCAGTTCCTGATCTCGTTCCCAATCCCATCCCCAATCCCAATCCAATTCCCATCCCCATTTCTGCCTCCATTGCCGTTCCCAATTCCCACATTCCCACATTCCCACATTCCCAAATCCCAGTTCCCAATCCCCACCTGCTCCTGGCTCTGCTCCTCCAGGTTGAGTTTGACCTCAATCCCATTCCCATTCCCCCAATTCCATTCCCAATCCCACATTCCCACATTCCCAATCCCCATTCCCACATTCCCACCTGCTGCTGGCCCTGCACCTCCAGGTTGAGTTTGACCTCAATCCCATTCCCATTTCCCATTCCCATTTCCCATTTCCCATCCCCATTCCCAATCCCATTCTCAATTCCCAGTTCCCAATTCCCAGCTGCTCCTGGCCCTGCTCCTCCAGGTTGAGTTTGACCTCAATCCCATTCCCATTCCCATTTCCATCCCCAATCCCATTCCCACATTCCCATTCCCACAATCCCACATTCCCGCATTCCCAAATCCCAGTTCCCACATTCCCATCTGCCACTGGCTCTGCTCCTCCAGGTTGAGTTTCACCTCAATCCCAGTCCAAATCCCATTTCCCATTTCCCATTTCCCATTTCCCATTTCCCATTTCCCAATCCCATCCCCATTCCCATCCCCATTCTCACATTACCAATCCCATTCCCAATTCCCAATTCCACATTCCCACATTCCCATTCCCACATTCCCGCATTCCCAATCCCCACCTGCTCCTGGCTCTGCTCCTCCAGGTTGAGTTTGACCTCAATCCCAATCCCATTTCCCATTCCCATTTCCCAATTCCATTCCCATTCCCATTCCCAATCCCATTCCCAACTCCCAGTTCCCAATTCCCAGCTGCTGCTGGCTCTGCTCCTCCAGGTTGAGTTTGACCTCAATCCCAATCCCAATCCCAATCCCATTCCCATTCCATTCCCATTCCCATCCCCACATTCCCAATTCCCAGTTCCCAATCCCCACCTGCTCCTGGCTCTGCTCCTCCAGGTTGAGTTCGACGTCAATCCCAATCCCAATCCCATTTCCCATTTCCCATTTCCCATTTCCCATTTCCCAATTCCATTCCCATTCCCATCCCCAATCCCATCCCCATTCCCACATTACCAATCCCAATCCCACATTCCCACATTCCCAATTCCCAATTCCCAGCATTCCCACATTCCCAATCCCCACCTGCTGCTGGCTCTGCTCCTCCAGGTTGAGTTTGACCTCAATCCCATTCCCATTCCCATCCCCAATTCCAATCCCATTCCCAATTCCCACATCCCCAATCCCATTCCCAATTCCCAATTCCCAATTCCCGGCATTCCCACATTCCCAATCCCCACCTGCTGCTGGCTCTGCTCCTCCAGGTTGAGTTTCACCTCAATCCCATTCCCATCCCCAATTCCCATTTCCCATTTCCCATTCCCATTTCCCATTCCCATTTCCCATTCCCATTTCCCATTCCCCCAATCCCATCCCCATCCCCATTCCCACATTCCCACATTCCCAATTCCCACATTCCCAATCCCCACCTGCTGCTGGCTCTGCTCCTCCAGGTTGAGTTTGACCTCCAGCGACTGCCGCGCCTCCAGGAACGCCTTCCGGTGCTTCCGGTCGGCCATGACGTACGACATGGCGCCCACGGCCACCGCGCACGCGTACAGCGCCACGTTCGACAGCAGCTGCGGGCGGGAAACACCAAAATCTGGGAATTTGGGATATTCAGGGTGGAACACTGGGATTTGGCAGGAACGGCTTCCGGTGCCTCCTGTCAGCCATGATGTAAAACATGGCGCCCGCCATCATGGCCGCCATGCAGTTGGACAGCAGCTGTGGGTGGAAAACTACCGAAATCTGGGAATTTGGGATATTCGGGAATTTGGGATGTTCAAGATGGAACATTGGGATTTGGGAGGAACGGCTTCCGGTGCCTCCTGTCGGCCATGATGTAAAACATGGCACCCACCATCATGGCCGCCGCGCAGGAGTACAGTGCCATGTTGGACAGCAGCTGGGGACAGGAACTACCAAAATCTGGGAATTTGGGATATTTGGGATATTTGGGATATTCAGGATGGAACACCGGGATTTGGCAGGAACGGCTTCCGGTGCTTCCGGTGCCTCCTGTCGGCCATGATGTACAACATGGCGCCCACCATCATGGCCGCTGCGCAGTTGGACAGCAGCTGTGGGTGGGAATGGGCCCAGATTTGGGATATTTGGGATCACGGCATGGAACATTGGGATTTGGCAGGAACGGCTTCTGGTGCCTCCTGTCGGCCATGACACACAACACACAACATGGTGCCCGCCATCATGGCCGCCGCGCAGGCGTGCGGCACCACATTGGACAGCAGCTGGGGACGGGAACCACCAAAATTTGGGAATTTGGGATATTTGGGATATTCAGGATGGAACACCGGGATTTGGGAGGAACGGCTTCCGGTGATTCCGATCGGCCATGATGTATGGCATGGCGCCCGCCATCATGGCCGCCGTGCAGTTGGACAGCAGCTGTGGGTGGGAACGGGCCCAGATTTGGGATATTTGGGATATTTGGGAATTTGGGATATTTGGGATCACAGCATGGAACATTGGGATTTGGCAGGAACAGCTTCCGGTGCTTCCGGTCGGCCATGACACACGACACACAAGATGGCGCCCGCCATCATGGCCGCCGCGCAGGCGTGCGGCACCACGTTGGACAGCAGCTGGGGACGGGAACCACCAAAATTTGGGAATTTGGGATATTTGGGATATTCAGGATGGAACACTGGGATTTGGCAGGAACGGCTTCCGGTGCCTCCTGTCGGCCATGACGTACAACATGGCGCCCGCCATCATGGCCGCCATGCAGTTGGACAGCAGCTGTGGGTGGAAAACTACCGAAATCTGGGAATTTGGGATATTCAGGAATTTGGGATGTTCAAGATGGAACATTGGGATTTGGCAGGAATGGCTTCCAGTGCTTCCTGTCGGCCATGATGTAAAACATGGCGCCCGCCATCATGGCCGCCGCGCAGGCATGTAGCGCCGCGTTGGACAGCAGCTGTGGGTGGGAAACTACCGAAATCTGGGAATTTGGGATATTCGGGAATTTGGGATATTCGGGATGGAACACTGGGATTTGGGAGGAAAGGCTTCCGGTGCCTCTGGTCGGCCATGACACACAACATGGCACCCACCATCATGGCCGCCGTGCAGTTGGACAGCAGCTGTGGGTGGGAATGGGCCCAGATTTGGGATATTTGGGAATTTGGGATATTCAGGATGGAACATTGGGATTGGGCAGGAACGCCTTCCGGTGCCTCCTGTCGGCCATGACACACAACACACAACATGGCGCCCGCCATCATGGCCGCCACTCAGGCGTGCGGCACCACGTTGGACAGCAGCTGCGGACGGGAACCACCAAAATCTGGGAATTTGGGATATTTGGGATATTTGGGATATTCAGGGTGGAACACCGGGATTTGGCAGGAACGGCTTCCGGTGCTTCCGGTCGGCCATGACACACGACACACAAGATGGCGCCCGCCATCATGGCTGCCACGCAGTTGGACAGCAGCTGTGGGTGGGAATGGGCCCAGATTTGGGATATTTGGGATATTTGGGATATTTGGGATATTTGGGATCACGGCAGGGAACATTGGGATTTGGCAGGAATGGCTTCCGGTGCTTCCGGTCGGCCATGATGTTAAACATGGCGCCCGCCATCATGGCCGCCGCGCAGGCGTGCAGCGCCACGTTGGACAGCAGCTGGGGACGGGAACCACCAAAATTTGGGATATTTGGGACACTCGGGAATTTGGGATGTTTGGGATGGAATTGGGGGGGGGCGGTTTGGGATCAGGGAAATTCAGGCTGGAAGGGCGGAGATTTGGGATCGGGGGATATTCAGGATAGAACGGCGGGAATTTGGGATCAGGGGATGTTTGGGACAGAACAGCGGGAATTTGGGATCGGGGGATGTTCGGGACAGAATGGTGGGAATTTGGGATCAGGGGATGTTTGGGACAGAATGGTGGGAATTTGGGATTGGGGAATTTTCGGGATGAAGGAGCGGGAATTTGGGATCATAGGGGGTCTTTGGGATCAGGAATGGAGGGAATTCGGGATCATGGGATATTCAAGATGGAAGGGCAGGGATTTGGGATTGGGGAATTTTTGGGATGAAAGAGCGGGAATTTGGGATCGGGGGATCTTCAGGATGGAATCGAGGGAATTTGGGATCGGGGATATTCGGGATGGAACAGCAGGGATTTGGGATCTCAGGATTTTTGGGATGGAATGGAGGGAGTTTGGGATCTCGGGATCAAACAGCGGGAATTTGGGATCGTGGGATATTCAGGATGGAAGAGCGGGAATTTGGGATCGCGGGATATTCAGGATCCAGCAGTGGGAACTTAGGGTTGCAGGATATTCGGGATGGAAGGGCAGGAATTTGGGATCGGGGGATCTTTGGGATGAAAGAGCGGGAATTTGGGATCGAGGGATCCTCAGGAATTTGGGATCGGGGGATATTTGGGATGGAACAGCCGGAATTTGGGATCGAGGGATCTTCGGGATGAAACGGCAGGAATTTGGGATCGAGGGATCTTCAGGAATTTGGGACCGGGGGATATTTGGGATGGAACTGCAGGAATTTGTTATCATGGGATCTTTGGGAAGGAAGAGGAGGAATTTGGGATCACGGAATATTTGGGATGGAAGAGCGGGAATTTGGGATCAGGGGATCTTTGGGAAGGAAGAGGAGGAATTTGGGATCATGGGATATTTGGGATGAAACAGTGGGAATTTGGGATCAAAGGATCTTAAGGAGGAAATTGGGAATTTGGGATCACCGGATCTTTGGGAAGGAAGAGCAGGAATTTGGGATCACAGGATTTTTGGGAACAGCAGGAATTTGGGGTGAAAGAGCTGGAATTTGGGAACACAGGATTTTTGGGAACAGCAGGAATTTGGGATGAAAGAGCTGGAATTTGGGATCACAGGATTTTTGGGAACAGCGGGAATGTGGGATCGCGGGATCTTCGGGAAAAAAAAACAGTGGGAATTTGGGATATTCAGGATTTTTGGGATGGAATGGAGGGAATTTGGGATCATGGGATATTCAGGATCCAGCAGTGGGAACTTAGGATTGCAGGATATTCGGGATGGAAGGGCAGGAATTTGGGATCGGGGGATATTTGGGATGAAAGAGCGGGAATTTGGGATCGAGGGATCTTCGGGATGAAACGGCAGGAATTTGGGATCGGGGAATCTTCAGGAATTTGGGATTGGGGGATATTTGGGATGGAACTGCAGGAATTTGGGATCGAGGGATCTTCAGGAATTTGGGACCGGGGGATATTTGGGATGGAACTGCAGGAATTTGTTATCATGGGATCTTTGGGAAGGAAGAGGAGGAATTTGGGATCGGGAATATTTGGGATGAAAGAGCGGGAATTTGGGATCGGGGGATATTTGGGAACAAAGAGCAGGAATTTAGGATCATGGGATATTGGGGATAAACCAGTGGGAATTTGGGATCAAAGGATCCTAAGGAGGAAATTGGGAATATGGGATCACCGGATCTTTCGGAATGAAAGAGCAGGAATTTGGGAACACAGGATCATTGGGATAAAAGAGCGGGAATTTGGGATCCCGGGGTTTTTGGGAACAGCGGGAATTTGGGATGAAAGAGCTGGAATTTGGGAACACAGGATTTTTGGGAACAGCGGGAATTTGGGATCACAGGATCATTGGGAACAGTGGGAATTTGGGATGAAAGAGCTGGAATTTGGGATCACAGGATTTTCGGGAACAGCGGGAATTTGGGATCGCGGGATCTTCGGGAGAGAACAGTGGGAATTCAGGATCACAGCATCTCTGGGAAGAAAAAGCTGGAATTTGGAATCGTGGGACATTCGGAATGAAAGAGCAGGAATTTGGGAACACAGGATCATTGGGATAAACGAGCGGGAATTTGGGATCACAGGATTTTTGGGAACAGCGGGAATTTGGGATCCCAGGATTTTTGGGAAGAACGAGCGGGAATTTGGGATCCCGAGACCTTTGGGAGGCACCATCAGGAATCTGGGATCGCGGAATCTCCGGGATGCATCCGGAGGAATCCCGGGAATCGCGGCCGGAAGGTTCCGGAAAAGCGCGGCCGGGCTCCGGATCCGGATCCCTGGGAACGGCCAAAAACCTGGGAGAGGTCCCGGCCCCGCCCACCGGGAACGCCCAGGGCAGGGGGTGGAGCCTGGGAGAGCCCACGGGATTGGTCCAGGCCCAGGGGGTGGAGCCCGTCCTCGGGCGGGGTCCGGACCCCATGGATGAGATTCTGATCCCATGGAATGGGTCCTGACCCCATGGATGGGATCCTGATCCCATGGATTCCATCCTGATCCCATGGATTCCGTCCTGATCCCATGGAATGGATCCTGATCCCATGGATTCCATCCTGATCCCATGGATTGGGTCCTGATCCCATGGATTGGGTCCTGATCCCATAGGATTCGATCCTGACCCCATGGATTGGGTCCTGATCTCATGGATGGGATCCTGATCCCATGGAATGGGTCCTGATCCCATGGATTCCATCCTGATCCCATGGATTCAATCCTGACCCCATGGAATGTGTCCTGATCCCATGGATTGGATCCTGACCCTCTGGATTGGGTCCTGATCCCATAGG